AGGATTCTGTGAAACCAGGCAGTGCAATAAAAGCAGAATGACCTTGTCTGGTTTTGAAACTCAAGTGGTCCGTGCCTTCCAGGTTCCTAAGTCTGACTTTTTCTGTCCTGTGCTGGCACAGAAATCACAATGAGTTTGTGCTGCCATGACCCCAGGCTTAGTTTAGATTCCCCTTTATTTGCATTTTAATAGCAGGGTTTCATTCCCAGCAATATGAAAGAAATCCACAGGTTAACCTGCTTGCCAAGAGCTCTATCTACAGAACTTCTGTACTGTAGACATTTTTATCCGCACCGTGATGTATTAGTCTTAGCTGAGCACTTAAGCAAAGCCCATTTTTTAAGCAAAACACAACAGGGTGACAAGAGCCCACTGAGCTTCCAGCACCACCTGCCGCGAAAGCCCAGCTCGCCAAGGGCACGGCCGGCTGAAACTGCGCTGAGCTGAGGGGTTTGGGTGCGACCGATTGCCCTCCGGTGAAAGTCCTTACCAACAAAATGAAAAAAAAAGACAACAAAAAACCCCAGCAGTAACCCGGTGAAAACAAACTGTATCTGAAGAACGCCTGTTTCAGGTGATCAGTTTAGGAGCTGGCGGTACCTTGCTTTGAGCTACATAACCCTGCCGAGTCCCAGGCAAGCACAGATTTGCAAAGCTGCTGTAAAACCACCTCCTGCCGCTCCAAGGCACACTGTCATTAGCAAATAAAAGGAATTCCATTTCCAGAAAAACACTGGGAAACAAGAAACCCCATGACTTCTATTTCAAGCGCCTGTTACTTTTTCCTCCCCTATTTGTTTTCCTCTGTAACTGACACCCTTCAAAGAGGTTCAGGGATCAAGAGAAAACACATGAAGCTCACATGAGGCAAAATAGCTTCGATTTCAGAACACACTGAGTCTGAATAATTTCTGATCTACCATTATGCCACAGAGCCTTTCATGGCAGTCACAGGGTTAAATAGAACCGTTAACCAAGAGTTCTCTGCAGAATGGTTTAAACACCCAGGCCATTCACTGTATCTGGCTTAAGGACTGTCTGTGGTTACGGAACTTACCCCACTCCCTGCTTAAAGGCTTCGATCAGCTCGTTTTTCTTCTCCTGGTCTTCTACCCAATACACGCTGGGAATGACAAACTCAGATATCACACGGCACTCCGGGCAAGACCTTCAAGGGGCAAGACAAGACAGCAAGGCTCTGTTACTTTCCTGCGGGGATACTCCTCGGTGAAGCAGCCAGGAGCCACAGGCTTCTGAGGCAACGGGGCTTGGTTTGTCACACCCGCCACGCAGATGTGCGCAGCACACGTGTGCCTGTGGTAGTAGCTTCAGTGGAAATACTGTAATTCAGGCTGGAACAAAAGGAACAGGTATTTCCTCAACACACAGAAGTAAACTGCATTTGTGAATCCCAACGTGCAGAAGTCAACCCTGCGGCTCCCACGCAGCAGCAGAAAGCCAAACCAGCTGAAAAAAAACAGCCCAAGAAAGGTCTCTGAGCCTTTCGAAACGTGACTTCTGCCAGCAGCAACGATTTGGTCACTCAGTGGTTTTTACGAGATGGATTTCTACACGAGGCGCTAAGATCAGGAATCAAACCTACAACTCCAGGCTGCAAAGTCTGGGAAAGTCTGTGTTCCTCCCCCGCCCCATGAATCCCATGGAACTCCCAGCGAGCAGTGCTTTGAGAATTAAACCAAGTCTCTCCTTTAAGGTTAACTCTGCAACAACCAGCACATGTTCACCATCGTGGAGAAATACAAAAGACACGTTTGAAGAACCGGTATTAATATTTAATCCATGCCCAGGATGGATTCCAGGGCACTGTTTCTGAAAAAACCAACCCCTCACAGTCCCTGCTGCAGGCAGAACACCTCAGCACCCGTCCAACAGATGCTCAGCACTAACACTGGTGACATCCTCACGGGTGAACGTTCACTCCTCTGCCATTAATAATGAAAGTTGTGCGTTTTGGCAGAAGATGGAAAATATTTCCCACCTGTTCCCCAGCGGGCTTGTAGCTTTAGAGAGTTTTCAGTGAGATGCTCAAACAACAACAACAACAACAACAACAACAACGTAACAACCCTAATTGGATGTTTTAAATTCTCTCCTGTGAGGAGAAGCACAGCTAGAATCCAATTTTTACAGCGCCAGAAGTTCTGCTGCTCTGGGGGGTGGCTCTCACAGCCGCACACCCAACGTGATGGGATGTGCCAGCACTTGGACCAGCATCTTCTCAGCTCAGATCTCACCGAGGGCTACGAGAATATTTCCGTATCGAGCCAAAGCCCCCAGGAGAACCCATCTCACCCACATTTGCCACCAAGATGAGACCCTGGTGAACGTCAACTTACTTGATGATGGGATTCTCGAACTGCTTGGCACACCGCCACTGCCGGATGCAAGACAAGCAGTACGTGTGGTTGCAGTTGGAAAGGATCCCAAACCTCCTCTCAGAGGCTGACGCTTTCTCGTACACCACTTCCATGCAGATGCTGCACACTTTGTCCTGACTCGCCTGAAAGGCGAAGGCCTTCTCCATGTCGTGCTCAAACGTGGCCATGCATATCTGCCAGGGCAGAGAGGGCAGGGGTTACTGCGGCCCGTGCTCCTTGCGGAACAGCAGTGTCTGTGAAAGGGCCCTACGACAGGAAAAACATGGTGCGCGGATCGGGAGCGTCACTCCTACCCTTTGTCATTGCCATTTAATTTTAAGAACGTTAAGTTCAACCACGTGTTTCAGCCCTTTGGTGGCCTCCGCAGGTTCTGTAAAGCTGAAGTAAAGCTGCCCCAACACTCTTAATTTTCACCTTTTGTCACAGAACAAGTACCGCACAAGGAGCTGCTTCAAACACCTCTAAACCCCACCTAATCCAGAGTGCAGAGGGTGCCCCGCTCAGGATGTTGCTCTGCTTCTCACCAAGTAACAGCAGGCCCCAAGCTTTCCCCGGGCTTTTCCCACAGGCTGCCCCGCGGCACGTCTCCCCGCTGCACCCCCGCAGCCAGGCCCAGGAACCAGCTCACGCTCTCTCAGCACTACAAGGTGAGCTGGTGGTTACACCTGCACGGTTTTGCCTCTTACTTGTCAAAAGTCTCAGGACCTGACAAGTAAAATAAAGACTTGAAATTGCAATAATGATAATGATGATGGTAACACTAACAATAACGATAATTATAATAACAACGACAGTACCACACAAACCAACTCCATGTCAGGAGCAGCATTCTGACTCAACCCCACCCTGGCTGCGGAGCCGTGCCCCCCCAGCGGTGCCAAGTATCCCCCAGCTCCTGGGAGAAGCGAGAGCTCCTACACCAGTGCATTTTACAAGACTGCACAAAACCTGAGGGTTTTAACCCCTTGGATTTCACTCCAGACTCTGGAGCTCATCTTCACCCACCCAGCTCCTCACCCGGCCCCTCCAGCTGTCCTAGTTCAGCTCCAAAGTCTCTGTACTCTGCTCCGCCTGTCCCTCCTTGGCGCTGCCCTGAAGTCAGCCACAACTAAGAGGAGACACCTGACAGGGTGACTCGGCAGAGCAAACCAAACCTTGCACTGAGCAAGGCGCCCACGGGACGTTAACGTTACCATCTCGTGAGCCTTCCTCTGCTCTTGGTCGAAGGGGTGAAGCACTTGCAGCCCGCAGATCTCGCACACGTCCCCGTGCAGGTAGAGGCAGCGATCTCCGAAGTGGCAGGGGGCCGGCCGCGCGGGAGGGACGCACC